CTTGACATTGAAAAAAAGAATCAGAAGTTTGTTTTGGAATCCAACCAGCAATCAATTTTTCTAATTTACTAAGATCATTTTTTATACTAAATAGAAAACGATACGCATCATGCAATTCTACACGCATACATTTAAACATACATTGTTGTTTTAATTTATCAATTTTAATGTTAGATGTTTTATAATTCATCGTGAATCTATAATTATTAAAACCTCTAAAATGTATGGGAATTAATCTTTCTTTTAAGCAAGTTTTTAAAAAATAAATTTTGAGTCTTACTTTTATATCAGTTCTCCATAATTTCATGTAATCTTTCAATAAAAGCACAGAGTAAACACCAAATTGTAGTCTTATAAATTCAAAAAACTGTAAATTTGAACGCATATTGATGCCAGCGTTATCAAAACAAGAATACTTATTAACCGTGGATCAATACAAACAATATAACAATTAAACGGCTTCATCCACGTACACAGGCTGAGTTTTGTGCAGGATCATACATTAATCCATATTTATTATAATATATAAAACCAAACGTTTCGGTCTGTCATCAGACCATTTTCAATAGTATTACATAGAATTGTTAAAAATTTCTCAATAATTTTGAATATTTACAGATCGAAATCATTCTCGTTGTCATTATATATATCGCTGTCCAATAATTAAATTATAATTTTCGAAATATCATATATAACATTCGTCAACTGCATAAAACCATGGAAAACATAGTATGTCCTATCTGTTAAAATAATTTTCATCCTCTGCACTCCATGAAAACAAGTCTGCTCTAACTATTAACGAATTATAAGTTCAAAATTACATTTACTTTTATAGTCTATCTTAACATAATATTATATAGCTACTTACATTATAAGTGAAGTTAATAATTATATTATCATTAGTGATAATTTTTTATCATCCCAATAAATCGACGCACCATTACCTGATACTGATAAATAATAATTTATAGTTATTAATATGAATCACTCAATTAATTAATTCCAAAAAACTTAGTAATACCTACGTAGAATTATTAAAATGTATCACACAAAGTAATGCACACTTTATCAAAGACATATTTTTCTTTCCTTTGTTCGTTTTAACGCTACCCTACGTTACCCTACTTTACTTTCACACTTGCAAATGACACTCAATAGATGAGTGTAAATTTTAAACGGCTTAAACCTTTGAGGGTTATTTTCAAAATTGAAAATAAGCCACTCGAATGTTAATCTTTATGACTGAGAGTTAACGCTGAAATGTTAAATGTAGATGAGCCGCAGATTCATTTATGAGAGAAATATATTTTAATTATACGCGTGAAATATTTTTTTGATAAAACTATCTTCCCTTACGGAAAAAATTCTTAAAATTTGAGTGTTTACACTTTAAAAAACACTGAAAAAATACACTCAAGGTAACACTCAATTAATGATTATTTTGGACGCTCAACCTGAGTATAACTCTCAACTTGAGTGGTATTGATAACTTGGATATTGAGTGTTAATCTCAACTTGATAGTTAACTTTAGTTTGAGGGTGAAATCACACGGTGCGGAAAATGATTGCGGAACAAAGAATGCGTCATTCAGCGGACTCAACAGTTGAGTGAGCATTCGCTGTTATTGGTATATTCTTCTAGATCTAAAATTCTGATTGGATGAGCTAAAAGAATACACTAATAACAGCGAGCATGGCACTCGCACTCAACTGTTGAGTCCGCTGAATGCGCCCATTGAAACAACCAATTAGCGCTATTCAAAATAACGCAGAATAGAGCTGATTGGTTGCTTTTGTGACATATTTTCTTTTCCACACCGTGTGATTTCACTCTTAGACCCTACGTACAATGGAGGAAGTATTATTATAGGAATAGAAATAAATATTAAAATTTCAAAACAAAGAAAATTTCTGAAAAACAAATAAAAATTTTAAAACAAATAAAAATTTCAAAACAAATTAAAATTTCAGAGCAAATATTAAATTGTAATCGCCATTATTTTTAAGTACTCAAATATTTGCGGGCGTCTACATTTAATATTTTGGCATTTATCTTAATCATGGAAATTAATACTCAAATAACTGTTAAGTTTATATACTCAATTTTGAAGACACTCAAAGATTTAGGATTTACGCTCATTTATTGCGTGTCATACCCAAGTGTTGAGGATAACCTTTAGATGTTTAGTGTGTGTAAACTCAAACTTGAGTGTGAACGTTGTAAACGCTCAATCATTGACTGTAAATACTCAATGTTTGAGTATAAATACTCACAATTTAAGTGTAAACACATAAATTTCAGAGTAAATTCCCAAAATTTGGGGTTTACACTCAAATTTGAGTATAAACACTGAAATTTTCAGAGTTTTTTCCGTAAGGGTACCCAAATGTTGAGGGTAACCTTTAGGTGTTTAGTGTGTAAACTCAAACTTGAGTGTAAACGTTGTGAACGCTCAATCTTTGAGTGTATATACTCAATGTTTGAGTGTAAACACTCACAATTTAAGTGTAAACACACAAATTTCAGAGTAAACTCCTAGAATTTGAGATTTACACTCAAATTTGAGCATAAACATTGAAATTTTCAGAGTTTTTTCCGTAAGGGTTGGCTGCGCTCGGAAACATCATGCAAGCCCTTACGGAAAAAACTCTTAAAAGTTGAGTGTTTACACTTTAAAAAACATTGAAAAAATACACTCAAGGTAACACTCAATTAATGGTTATTTTGGACGCTCAACCTGAGTATAACTCTCAACTTGAGTGTTATTGACGACTTGAATGTTGAGTGTTAATCTCAACTTGATAGTTAACTTGAGTGTCAGGGTGAAATCACACGGTGCGGAAAATGATTGCAGAACAAAGAATGCGTCATTCAGCAGACTCAATAGTTGAATGAGCACTTGCTGTTATTAGTATACGAGGTCTGTCCGGAAAGTATCGAGCCTACCTTTATATTTCCGCGCCATAGTGTTCGAGCGACCTCTCCGGGGCATGAACGTCAACAGTAAAGCCTCACGAACCTATCGGTTGCTTGCTGATATCTGCCGGACGTATAGTTCATGTGCAGCGTG